GGCCGGCACTGCGACAGCTTAAAATTGTCGTGCGAGAGCCATTTGGTGGATTCGCCTGTTTTGCTCGTCCGTGTTTAAATAGTCCGTCCATCCGTTCGTAAGTTTGTTCCAAATATGTTTATGGGTGAAGTGGCGCCATTGTTGCCTAGGCGCTCCTACCCTCCTTTTACCAATCGGATATGCGTTTGCTGATTGAGGAGAATAAACTACTTGTCTCATTGGGTCCGAGTCTGTTGCTCTCAAAAGGTGTCCAGATAGTTTAACTCGTTTGTCCAAAAGAAGTTCGGAGAAAAGTTTCACTTCGTGCCCAGCTTTTTCGGAAGCCATTGTGAGTACAAATTCGTTGGTGTTTCTTCTGTTAACAAATGTGGGCTCTAGATTTAATATAGATCTAAGCCCCCGAAGTTGAAACGCGTTAATCTTGTTTAGCATTGCCTGTGTCAAGTGCACGGTTTCAAGACCATAAATCAGTTTGTTTTGAATGACAGCCTGATAAACGCGTAGTCTCCAACCAACAGTGCAATTGGATGCTTTCCAAAAAGGTTTTAATTTGGTCCAAGCAGCCATCGTCTGCTGCATTCTGTATCCGATTTCCTGTCTCATGTTCATACTTCGTGTGATATGATGTCCTAAGTATGTTGTTTCAGTGCATCTACAAAGTTTGGTCCCATCTGCGAATCTGAGATTATTGTTCCCATTCATAGCGATATACGAACACTTGAGTCTGTTCAATTTAAGGCCAAACTGCAGTGAAACCCGTTCAACAGCCCAGAGAATCCTATTGGCAGAATAAGTATTGGTGGCTAGGAGTATAGTATCATCGGCATAGTAAATTCGATCGAAGCTGATACCTGGCTTTCTGGTTCCTGAAGTGCGTCTGTCTAGGTGGTAATTCACATCATTATCAATCACGCTCATGACTCATGACCAGAACAAATAAGTAAGGCGATAGAGGACATCCTTGACGTATACCTGACCTTTGGCGTTTGGGTAACGACTTACCAAATTCGTCTTCAACAAAGAAACAGGGGTTACGGTAGCAGTTTTTGATGACTTGAATGAAATGGTCGTGAATTCCAAGCCTGTTTAACGCTATGTAAAGTTTGTCGTGTTGTACCTTATCGAAAGCTTGTTTCCAGTCAAGAAAAGTTATAATAAGATTTGAACCCTGTTGTTCTGCGATATCTTGCATACGCCTAGTCAAAAACAGTGCATGCGAGGTACTTCTAGATGGCCTAAACCCATACTGTGTTTGCGTTAACGTGTCCTCTAATACCACCTGAAGCCTCTGCCGTATCAGAATCATGTAAAGCTTGTAGAAAGAATTTAACAATGATATAGGTCTGTAGTTCGCTGGATCGTCTGTATCTCCTTTCTTATAGATGGGCACCACGCGAGCAAAAAAGAGATCTTCAGGGGCATATTGGTTACTCCACCATAAGTTCACAAGACGGAGAAACCAAGTTTTGTTTTCAGAGTTCAACCAAGAGAAAAGCTCCATTATAACATTGTCCGGTCCCGGTTGCTTGTTCTTTTTGGAAGAAGACAAAGCAGCGTCAAACTCTGTCATAGTAAACGGTCTCAAGTCAAACAAATGTCTGAAGTCCTGTATTCGGTCCGTCCGGTCAACAGGTGTGTTGTTGTCATTTGTCCAGTGTTTGTCCTGAAGATAAGTGGCAATTGCTTCTGCCCTATTACGCGGCGCTACATATTCTCCTTGGAGATCCTTCATGTGGATGAACCTTGGCTGTTGTTCTTTTTTCAATTTTTTAACACCCGTCCACTTTTCTCTTTGGTCCGGAATTTCTCTAATAGAATCAAAAACAGCACGTCTTTTGTCTCGCCTAGCTAGATTCTTGATATTATTTGACAGTTCCTGAACAACTTCAAGGTTCCCACTTTCATGCGCCTGTTGTCTTTCAACAATTTTCTGCCAAGTTTCTTGTGATAAATATTCTCGCCTTTGATTTTGGTCAATTTTGGTTAAGGTTTGTTTTGCAGTCTCTATGATACAATTGGAGATTTCACTCCAAGCAGTTTCTGAATTCATCACCAAATTGTTGAGTCTCCGTGTCAGCAACTCATTGTAATGTACAAATTCTGCTTGCGTCGGTTGCCGAAATTTAGGGGCCCTTGATTTGCTATTTTTATCAGCAACCAATCTTACACCAACCTTAGCTTCAACAATATAATGATCAGAAGGAAAAAAGATGTCAGTTCTGGCTGAGACATCCCTACAATTTTTCTGCCATTTTTCGGCAACCAACCAGTAGTCAAGCTGTGCATACTTCCGAGGTGTCCATTCCGGACCATGTTCAGTTGTGTTCTCGCGAAAAGTACAGTAGTTCATCGCTTGTTTTCTAAAACAAGTGTTCAAAATTCTGAGGCCGTCCTGTAGACAATAATTTACAAAAAGAGACCTATTTTCCAAGGTGTAATCACTAACTTGTTCTAAATACTCACAGCCTCTTCCGAAAATATATGGTCCCATGGCTGGTTCCTCAGATTGGTATCTGTGGTGAAGCCTGGCGTTAAAATCACCGCCAAGAAAGTGTATGCCTTTGGCTTTTCTGGCATGTGCTTGTACTTCATCATAGAACTTATTTTTCTTCTCTGTATCATGTCCACTGTGTGGCGCATAACAGGAGCTAAAACACAGATTGCGACCCTTCGATCTCAGACTGATTGACATGAGTCTGCCCGAAATTTGCTTGATATCATGGATAAAATGTTTCAGTTGGGTTGACACGACAATACCAACTCCTGCTCTCTCAGTCTGTACAGCATCTCGCGGTGAAACGTCTGTGCTGAAAAAGAAATCATAGCCTTGGACGGTTTCCACGCTTTTCTTGTTATGGTTGGTTTCTTGAAGCAACAAAAGATCATAACATTCTTTCTTCATGATGTCAACAAGGAGCCTCTTTTTAACGTACCCGTTTTCTCCAGATAACCCTCTTACGTTCAGCGTGGCAACCTTCAGTGGCCGATTATATCTGAGTTTGAAAGTCCTTTTTGTTTTGTCCGTTTGGTTTGGGTTTTTTAATTCTTGAAACAGGCTCTTTCGCGCACTTCTGTCCAGCATGGCTGACTTCGAAAAAGCATGCTGGTTTTTGCACTGTCGCAAGTGCCGTTCTGGGGCTATTGGTTTAGCCACAAACTGGTGATACCAAGCTTTGAATTGTCGAAATTGTCGCCGGTTCGACCGCCTACGATTTTGTCTGGTTAGAATCCTTTTGTTATTGCTACTGAAACTACGCAGGCCTCTGTTAGTATTTCTTGCTCGAGTAGTATTAGCCCCTGTGGATGACTTCGTTTGTCTCCGCTGAAGATGAAAACACCCCCGCGGCTGATCCGGCTCACCTCCTGAAGGTGAAGAACCTAGGATCGATTTTACCTTACCTGTCTGTTTGGCTTCCTCTGATTTAGAAACGACTTTAAAAGCGACTTTTTTAATTGGATTTGATGGATGGACTAGTCACAGTCCATTTGCATCTTCCGCTGCGGCGGCTTGACCATGTTCCATTACTCCCTTGTCATATTTCCAATCCTTTACCTCAGCCAGTTTATAGTCAAAGGGGAAATCGCCAATTTCTGTGTCAAAGTGTTTGCTTTTACTTTTGCCTTTGCCTTTTCCTTTTCCGGCTGCGCGCGATGTACCGCCCATTCTCACAAGCTCCTTGGCTTCTGACCAGTGTTTCCGGACCGCATCATACACCATGGCATCCAGATACACCGTGGCGAGGACGTCTTTTACGCTATAGTGCACCCAAACGTAAGTGTAGTACTCATCATACACGGCATTTTGTCCCCACCAAGGTTTCAGTTTGGACATGTCCAATTGCAATGTGCCATCTTCCACTGCAAGGTCCATTGCTTTCATGCTAATTTTCAACGGTTCTCCTTTGATTCTGTCCCATAGTGCTACCTGGGGTCTCATTTTGATTGTCGAACTTGTGGGTTGTCCATCCTTGTAGAAGTACAACTGGGTCTTTGGCGTGATGTAGTTGTCTTTGTACCATTTGTCCAGCTGAGTCCTCATCCATGATTGCGGGAATGTAATGACTGTCATTGGGGATAGCTCTCCTGGCTTGGTCGCGTGGGACATATAGTAGCTACCTGCTTCGATTCCGGCATTCTGAATGCACCATGCAAGGAAGGAAGCTCTCTGTGACGCTGTGGCATCAGATGGCCAACCAACTACACATTCTTCTTTCGATGCTTTGTCTCTTTGGTCTTTCACTTGATTTTTGAGTGCCCACAGTTGTTGTTTCCTAAATGCCCACTGATCCTCATTCAAGTCGTACATCTTCTCTTTCAGTTCGTTCATGGAAATCTGGAGTTCCTTCACTTTCTCTGTCACTGTCTCCATCTGTATGTCTACTACCTCCTGCATTGCTTCTCTCATAGCCTTCTTATCTTCTTTTGGTCTCATTGGTGTTTTTTCATTGGTGCCAGCTCTGATTGGTGTTTTGGTGTCTGGCAAAGTACCTGCCTTCCATTGTCTCTTGGCCTTTGCCTTTTTGGCGGTAGGTTCTTCTGCATCTAGATCTGATTCCAGGGATCGACGAGTGTTTTCCCTGGGAGCCTCCGCCATGTTGGAAGCTATCTTTCTATGTGATCCTAGTCATCCTGAGCCTGTATGACATATCACTATGGATATTTATGGATATCTACCGATATATCAATTTATCGATTTATCCATGATGATATGGGTGTTTCTAAAAAATGGAGAATCCCCAGTCACCAGGGGCTTTAATACTAAAATGATCTAGTGACTTGGATGATTTGGGGGTAGCCCCATTTTAGGAAACCACCCCGGTCGGAATCCTCCAGCTCCGGAAAGTCGAAGGTGGCTTCTGGGTCATCTTCAGAGTCGCCTCCTCTGGGGCATCTGGAGTTGAATCATGTTGAACTAACATGTCAATCTTAAGTCTAGAAGATGTTACTGGATATTATTGTATAGGCATATGTTAGGATTGTGAATCAAAATTGGTGAGTTGAAAGAGTGTGAAACCGGGAAAAGTAGTGCAAACTACTAATTAGTACCAAACGCTCTTGAGATTTCAACCACTGGGCCACGCAACGCTACGCATTGTCAATGTGGGTCAATTTCATGAAGGTCTTCCGGACCTAAAGCTGTGCAGACCGAGAAATTCAAGCCGACCCTTGGACTGGGGACCCATCAAAATGTGACTGCCCTCGGGTGTTGATGGTCTGTGCATTTTCTTCAAACATCTTCAAACCATCCAGGACAGGACATGCCATCAGATTCAACCCAAGGGAAATCATCAGGTAAATTTGTTCGCCACATCGTTGTGCCACATGTGGGATCCGACTCTGCAATGGTCACACGCTGACGGAAACAACTTGCACCTGATCCCCAACTTCCATTGCTGGCCGCATCATCCTCCATCGCACCCGGTGGCGCTGAGGACTTTGTTTTGCTTGGAACATGAATGCCATCCGCCAACAAGTAGCGAACAAAGTCTTCCTCAGCGGCAGTGGCCTTGATCTTCACCAGAATAGGCATGTTGCATTCAATTACTTTTCTAATATATATATATATATAATTGTTATGTATAATATATATATATATATAATTGTTATGTATAATATATATATATATGTGTGTGTGTGTCTCATCAACAACATTCAAAAACTGTGAAAGAAGTGCTTCCTGACGATTTCCTGTCAGAAGCAGCGTTAGGTAGGGAATGGTAGGGATTTTCCGTTTGCAAATTGATCCATCAGGGTGTGACGGCTTCCTGCTGATTCCCCACATCTCTGCTCCTAGCAGTCCTAGCAGTCCCAGCATCCGGCAGGGGGATGATCTCACTCTTGAAAGTCAGGTCTTTGAACCTGCGAAAGTCACACCCGGCCTGGCGGCCTGGGCCTTGGGTCTGGTTGCCTGAGTTCACCCCCACAAAGTCACGCCTAAAATTCACTCATATTCAATCTATAATATATATATATAATTATATATACATATATATATATATATCTATCTATTCAATCTATCATCTTCCTCTCACCACATTCAGCTCCCATTCCCAAGAAGTTGGCCCGACTTGGTGTCACCGAAACTCCATGAAAATCCAAGGCCAAAGCGGCCAAGAAACAAATGAAACCAGGATTGAAAAGCACAGGCCAATACCTCCTCTTCTTGCATCTGATCTGCTTCTGGCTCTGGTGCCATATCCACTGCCATGGCGCCGGCCCGAGGCAAAAGTGGCCAAAGTCGTCCAGAAAATGACCCAAGAGGCTGCAAGAAGGGTCTAGGTTACAGTGCAGGTCTCTTGAGTTTGAAGCTAGTTCCTATTTCAAATATGTCAATGAGTTCGTCTTGGAAGTTGCAAATACGTACAATTTCCGACATGTTGTGATGAGGTGACGTCAGAAGCCAACCTGGCCTTCTACATGATGGTTTCGCAAAAAGGTTCCGCAATGATTCTCGCAGCTTGAAGGGAAAATCAATGGAAAATCAGCGAAGCGGCGGGGCGGAAGACACCAAACAAAAATCAAACCCCTCTGCCCGAGGGGCGGAAGACACCAAACAAAAATCAAACCCCTCTGCCCGAGGTCATGAAGCCCTGTTTCTACGCGTCATGTGGAGCGCATGCCCTTTTGTGATCTTTTGTGACAAATGTCAATGTGTGAGTTCAGGACTAAGGGTTTGAGACCCTTGAGGAAGCTTGTGGATGCCGACAGCCCGGAAGTTCAGCAAATGGGGTGCCGCCGGGCGACATCTGTCGCGATGTGGAAGAGGCCTGCCTGGGCCTCGAGAGTAGAACAGTGGAGTAGCGTGGCTGGAATGGAAAATCGCAACGTATTATAGTAATTATAGTATAGTATGATGTAACATATTATATAATATATATATATACATATATATAGTATGTATGATGTAAAAAATGAATAAAAATGAAGCCACCAAATGCTACCAATCAGTATCTGTGTTTTTTGGGGAGTTCTGGTGCTGGGACCCAGGTGCCCCGGCTTCGACGGGGATTCCGAACTTCGTTTCGAAACACCGCTCCAATGCAGCTCGCCAATTCCCGGAATCTTGCAGCCGCATGACCTCAACTCGCTGTGAATTGCTGATCGTTCCACTATGTTCCACTTGTTTTTCGGCAAAGAGGTCTGTCCTAGTTGGAATTGTTAGAATATGTTAGAATCACACAACGCCAATAGAAAGCCACACTTTCGTCCAAGGCACCATTGCCAGCAACTGATTCCGTTCTCGCTCTCGGCCCTCATCTGTCATCCTTGGGCAAGGCATCCGAAATTTCAAGAGTCACAAGATGGTACCAGTACGCCCCGTGTCACTCCTCCATGACCGTGATCAATTCGTGGCAATTTGTGGGATTGAAACTTGACCAAGAACAGGTCTAGACACAGTTTAGCTCAGTGCCTCCTGCAATCCATGTTCCCCAGACTAGGTGATCTGCAGCAGAGAAGTTGACTTCATGATCGAATCATAGCTCACCGTCGAAGTATCAGCCTCTATCCGTCTCACGATCTTTTTTCAAAGTCCCACCGTTTAGGGACATAAATTTCAGACACTATTTTTTTTGGACACATTGGCAGCCGATTGGCATAGCATGGCATATCCCCTGGTTCTACACGAGGGTAGCATTGGTCCAAGGGGCTCTGTGTTGATTTTCAACTCATGGAGTTTACCTTCGGCGGAGCGAAAACCTCAGCCGAGATGGCATGCTGTTGATTGCTGTTGCAATCGGCATCTGAAGTGGAAAGTGATTACCGGGAGCTTCCTGAAACATTGACATCTCAGGCCATGACGCAAATGAATTCTGACCAATTCTACGAAGCGATGCAGGGCATGATCCTTCAACTGCAGGAAACACCTGGGCTCTGTGAAGTACTGTGAAGTGACAGTGGCTATCAGCGGCTACAGTTTTGATCTATGATCAACCAGACTCTCGGTGGTCACCTATGAAGACCGATCGTGCATAACATTGTGACAGCTGAGAAGGTTGGGGGCCGACACTTGCAGCTTTTGAGCTTTCTTGCATTTTCTTGTTTAAAAATGCATGCAGACGAACACGAAACCAAACCGCCCAGCAACCATGGGCTGACGAACGAATATGATCAAATAAGAACCAGCATCGCCAGAAAAAAAGTAGTTCCTACTTACTACTGTGATCTCTGTGCTGTGCCAAGGTGCTTTTCGTCTCGCACTGCGGCGGTGTAGAATTGATGCAACGACTTGGCATTTCCCTGCGCTGCAGTGCCCTACAGTCCCAACTGTTAGAAGCCTGCCAGTCTTTGCCAATACAGTCAATGCAAAGTGAAACAAACCTGTTCAACAGTCAATGTTTGAAGGCCGTGTTTCGGCTAATGTCTTGACCATTGAGTGTCTTGCGAAACCTTCAAGGCTCCAGGCGTCATTTCAGTTGATTCAGTTGATCTGGACACACATTTATCTTTATTGCAAGTGGTTTCACTTTCGGCAACTGGAAGTGCTTCTGGCACAGGCCTTGCCGAATTTGGACAAGTCCACGTTGTGGCTTTGCAACAGTTCCTTAAACTTCTCAAAAGACCTAAGCGTCAGTGGCTCATCGGGAGCACCTTTCAAACCTTGTGGTTCTCAAATCAGTCTCAAGGATTCAAGAATGCTCCTGGATGGAGCAGCCACAAAAAATGGAAACAAGGAATTCCTTGCTTCCTGGAAAGAACATACGCGCAGTCCCATTCTGCAAGCTTAACATGTCTGAACAAGGGCCGAAAGGGGTCCTTCTTCGAGGTAAGAGAAGCGGTGGAAAATTGTAAATTTGCAACAGCCCAAGGCAGTCTTTGATTCTTGACATCCTAAATCGACATGAAAAGCAACTCATGGGCCAACCCAAGGGGCCATCTATGGCCATCTCCAGTCGCACAAGATCTTTCAAAACATCACCGTAGGAGCCATAATACTATCGTAATTCTATCATAGTACTATCATAATACTGTCATAGTATATCAAATGTATATCATAGCATCATAGGTTCTCAACCGCAAGTACTTCGTATCAGATCCCTATGGCAGGCCATCCATATCCATGGCCGGCCATCCCCTGCAGACCAGCGACATGCGTTTCCCCCTGCCTTCTCCCTGGCCCGTGGTCTTTCTGGGCATCGTTAGACTACCAAAACCCGGCTCTGCCATATTTCATCATAGTTCATCATATCACAGATTGATATTTCATGGATATTTCGTGGATGTTTCATCATATGTCATAGTTCAATATAGTTCATGTCATGCCATGAATCATCTGGCTCTAATCATTCACTGACCTGATTCACAAGGCAAAATCTGGGGATAGTTACACAATTGCTAATCATAATCATCATCATCTATCATCATCTGTATATTGATATGACCACGGAAGACTAGGGATGATGATAGTCATGATAGATAGGATATGACAGGATATTAATACTAAGGATGATATGACTAGGGAATACTAATCATCATCGAATCTAATCATCTTTCCCTCGTCGCTGCGCTGCTGCGCCTGGGCGAATTCCATGCTGCTCACCAGGGGCCGCGCCCCCGTGCGACCTGCGGCAGCATGGTCGATGACCTGCGCAGACGTTCCCAGGAGGAGAGCCGAAAAAATCCAGCGTCTTATGCCAATTGTTGATCATGCACCATGGAATATGGTTAATCAGAAATCATCTTAATTAATCTTAATTATAGTTATAATATCAACATCATGGTTCATCACGGTTTTATCATTCTGGGTGATATTATAATTATATATATATTATATATATAATTATATATATAAGAATAGTTCACGAACCTGAAAAGTTCGGCTATATTGGGATCATTCCCCTTACCATGACTCCAGTGAATCCAGTCGCAGTGAGGTTTAATGATTTCCCCAGAAACATGGTTGGCAAACAAAATGCTCATTGAAATACCCTCTGGTAATGACTAACATAGCTATGGAAAGATCCACCATTTTTAATGGGAAAATCCACTATTAATGGTCATTTTCAATAGCTACGGTAAATTACCAGAGGGTAACATAAAAAAATGGATGGAAACAAATGGTTGATGTTCTCTCTCTCTCTCTCTCCATGGCCATCTCACGAAATCAGCAGTCAAGCTGAAGGCGAGCTAAAAAGGCGACTTGGCAGGTCAGCAGCCAAGCTCGTAAATGATTGATGTTACATTGCCATGTTTGATGACCAAAGGGTAGATCATGGTGTGGTGCACTTGCCACATCTTGCAACATCGCATGGAAGTGGCAGCACCCTCTTTTCGGGGCAGCCTCTGTGAAAGCATCCAGGTAGAAGGTATTCTGGCCTGAGGCAGCACCAAGCAGATGTAAACAAACGCACAACTGGCAGGGATTGAAGACTCCTGCGCGACCAAAAAGGTGAAAATAGCTTGTGCCGCTCTAAGTGCGCACCTGAGACCACTGGCATCCATCAAACTTGCATTTCTTTTTTTTATCATTGGTTGATACCTTGCTTGGTAATGTTTGAGCCAGTAGACTGTTCATAGAATATCATTCCGAAGCTTGGAACTTTTTGGACAGCCGAGGTTGTTTCCAACCCGTGCAAGTCACGGCATGTCTGCAGTAGCATGGACTCCTGACATCAAGCCGACCTCAACCGTTTTTTTTTTGCCCACTTTGGTGGTTCAGGATGGTTCAGGTTCAACTTGAAGTTCCACTGGTTCCACTGCTGATTTGGGAGGCCACCCTTGGATCAGTTGGATCATCCTGGGATCTCCGGCTTCCGAGCACCAGCGGTAGAAACCTTAGGGCGCTCAGCTGCTCCTTGGCAGAAGTGGAGATGTGCACCATCCCCTCTTGCCTCGCCGGGGATGATTGGCAAACGTGCCAAAGCTGATGGGAATGATGGGAATGATTGATGCTTTGCTATTTGAATGTGAAAACCTCAGTAAATTATGCAAATCCCGTGGTCGTGGATGTCTTTTATGGCTCCATGATGGGTTGAGTCAGCATGACGAGATTGGGAAGAGAGCTGATCATCCAAGAGTTTTCGGGATTTGTCGGAATTGAAGACATGCCCTGGAGGAGCTGCCAGCCATGTTGGTATCGCCACACCTTCCCCAAACTCTCCGATTGGGGCTGAATTTTGGCCTCCAATCAGTCCAGAATCCACTGCCCCAGCCTGGAGGTGTCAGCTAAATGTCTGGCGCCTCAAGCGGTGCACAAGAATTGCAGAATCCATATGGGAAAAGAATGGAAAACAGAAAAGATAATCAAGACCTTGGTTTTTACCTGTGAGCTTTGTGTCTCGTGCCTGCACTCACTGGCCCGAAGTAGGCGGGGCTCTCGTTGCCACTCGGAAAAGACCTGGCGACACCGGAGATGTTAAAGCATGGGAAAGGGTAGCCTGTAGCAACTCTCCGGGACAGGCTTCCCAAAACCAACTCCTAGAGACTCGATTACTTGATGGCAGAATCCATCAAAACTGTAGTTTCTCAAGCTTGGCCAAAAGAAAGCTCAGAACTCAAATGACTTCTGACCGCGCAAGAGCTCTTTACCAAACTGAGCACCCAGCAGCAAACCCTGAACGCTATACAGAACACCGTGGTCTACCTCGGGCAAAAAGACTCACAGCCAAAATCACAGTCAAATGATCAGGCACAGCCAACACACACTGTGGCACACACAACCCCGCCAAGCGAAGACTCTATTGTTTGCTTTGCACACTTCGTGCAGCTCACAAAGGTCTAATGGTCCACCAAAGCTCCACCCAGAACTGTTTCTCTCCCTATCTGCACAAGTCAGTTGTACGCGAGTTGGGTGCGTTGCCGCAAAGAGAACCACCACATTCCCCACATTCTATTGTTGGATGATGTTGGATTTGGAGTCCTCAAGAAACTGTGTGCAAGACAGAGGGCTACCAGGCTACCACCAAGGCAATCTGATCCCAGGACCATTTTTGGGCTTCGGATCCCACTGAGGAACCCTGACGCCCACGAGGATACCTATGGCTGGAGATTGTGACAGCGCCCACCTGGAGGCAGTGCGGAGGAGATATTGGATCACATCACAAGATATCTATGATATCTCAAGTCATCCTGCATGAATGCTCATGGCTCATGACATAATTACTCTACAGTTGCTTGGACTTTAATACTTTTACAGACTCCGATGGCTTCAAACTGTTTGAGCCAATGGTTTTCTTCTTCCGCAGGTCTTGGACTCTTGCCCGTAGTCTTCACCACAAAGGAAAGTATACGCTCCGCACCATCACTCACCCTAATCAGTCTGGCAGAATAAATGCTGATCTGCAACTACCTTCCAGATTGTACAATCAAATGTTGATGCAGTTTCATTTGATGCAATAAATATCAATAAATGATCATAAACGCAATAGTCACTATGTCTTATTTCGAGGCCTCTATGATTTTCACTGGTCAAGCCTACACAGCAACTGACCCAAGCGGGTCATGGAATCTGGGGCATTCCTGAGCTCGGGGGCTCGGTGGCTCGGTCCCAGTCACTGAAGAGTAAACTGAGTAAACCTTCCAAGTGATGTTAGTGATGTTTGTTTGGGATGGAAAACCACTCGAAAATTTAATTTAATATACTATATGACTATATGTATAACTGATAATAAATGCACCCGTCATCATCGTCATCCGTCCAAATTCAACTTGGCCTGTTGGCCTCCGGTTTGACATGTTTGACTTTCAATCTGGAAATGTTTGCCAGAATCTGCTCTCATGAGTTCCACGCATTCCAGCATCCTCCACACCATTGCCCATAATCAGACCTCAAAAACGCTCAATGCATTGGAAATGTCATCACCAATCAACAAATTTTCACCATGGCCTTGACAATCCGAAGGAGTTTGAAGCCCACCAAGTTTTGTTGATGAGGATGCACCATCTTGAAACCAGCTTGAGCCAAGAAATCATAGACTAAAAAAACAAAAATGTATTCAAGTGCTGAAGCAAACTACGAAAGTCTCATCAAGTAGAGTTACTGTACAAACCTTTGGTGGATTGATGTGGCCCATCCCCAGCCCTGCCAGCCCTTGGCCGAGGAACCACTGGTGGCATCGTCGAAAAGCAACACGGCTCGAAAGACGGTGAGGTGAGTATTGATCTGGTGCCGAGAGGCTCCGGGTCGGAAATCTCTGGATTTCTGCCCTCTGGTAAACTAACCATCAACTATGGAAAATGACCATGTTTAATGATGTTTAATGGATAAATCAACTACAGTATATAAATTGCAATTTTCAAGAGCTATGTTTGTTTACCAAAGGGTAAGCGAAATATAGTGAAATCATTACCCAGGATATGATGCTGTCTGGGTCTGGCTCACCAGGGACAGCTGGAGTCATGGCTGCCAAGTGCGGAGCACCATGTAGAAACCAGGGATGTGGTTTTCTCTCAAAATAGATCCCCAACAAATCCAACGCTTGATCATCATTTTCCACATTAGTGTCATTAAGTGTTTTTGTTGGTTCTTTGGAGGATTTTGGTGGTATTTAAAAAAAAAAAACATTCCCCATTTTCACACTTACATAAACTCTTCCAATAATCATCTTATATATATATATCACAATTCAGCCCAATCGCAGAGGTTCCTCATAGGTTCCTCTATGCTTCCCGGCCTGTGCGTGCAAGTCTTGTAGCTGCTCCAATTCGATGCTGAACTCAGAGCGTGGGTCACTTGGGGTTGTGATCTAAAAGCCCAAAGGGAGATGGGAACCAAAAAAATGATTGAAATCAGTACTGTTGTAACCACCACCAACCCCCAAAATGAAAACTGCTACTCTGGCCATCCTATCAAAATCCAACCTTTCAATTGTCTGATGCAGCATCCAGCATCCGGGTCAAAGGAATCAAGTTTGAAAATCCATGGTGCTACCTGATGTATCCTCATAATTTATCGTAGTTTATCATGCATCGTCATGCCAGAAATTACCACAGGATAAAGGGTGAAAAATGTCAGAAAATCGGTAAAGGATGTGCTGAGGCCCTTGGAATCCCCACTGGATGGGTGAGGCTCTAGCACAACTGTCAATCATCAATCCAAAATGTCCAGCGTGTTGGTGCCTTTAATTTGTACTAATCCTGATGGGAGAACCTGATTAACCCAAATCACCGTCATTTTGGGGCCGGCTCTCCAGTGCTCTAGCCAAGAGGCGGCGCTGTCTGGACCTAACCTGAGCTCAAAACCGGGTCATATTGCTTCCTTGAAACTTTCAGCAACGGATCCAAACATGTTCGCGATATTTTATCGCAAATGATGCATGTAAATCCTTTATACAAAACATTTAGAATCTGAAAAAACTAGAGCTAAGCCTAGCTCACCGGTTTTTTGTTTCATGACTACAAGTTGTGGTGTGGTCCTTGATGCCAACCACTGACCACCAAGGCGGATGGGTTGATGCGCGCACACACACACACGCGCGAGCACGCACACACGCCCACATTATGTCTGTCTGTCTGTCTGTCTGCGTGCGAGTGTGAATGCATATCTGATTCTATATATTTCTATATGCCTGTGCATGTCCATCTCTCTCTCTCTCTCTCTCTACCGTATGCACATGCACATGAATATGCTACACACATATACCATATATATATATATATAGTATTAATTATATTATACTCTATATATATGCTACACACATATACCATATATATATATAGTATTAATTATATTATACTCTATATATATATAATCATATTATATGTAGATCATATGATGATCATATGATATATAGATGCTACCCAAATTTAGGACTAGCCCCAAGTTGGCCCTGCCACCAAGAGTCCGCCAGGACAGGCAGCTGGTATGAGAGCCAACAGCTTGTGCCTGCCGCCGTACGTTCCCACAGCTTATGATAATCCATAGAAATCCCAAATGCATTGGGCAGGATCATCCCATACAACATCAATCAACTGTCATAAAACAACTGAGGTGTTTGAAACTGCTCAAGCTGGAACAACTCGATGGACTTTTTTTCCGCAACATGAACTCCAGCTGAACAGCTGCCCACTGAGGTCCACAATCTGGTCTGACTTCGCGGCCTCAAAATTCACCTCCGAGGATCTGAGGAATGACATGCCTCCTGCGCCACATTTGGTGCGTCCACACAGATTTGTAGGGAGGATAAATTGGATAAATGATATATGATATATAATATATATATATGTGTGTGTGTGTATTATATATATACAGTATATATAAATTGAATGATAGCTGCCACTTTCTGATTCTACGGCATGGTTCTACAGTGTCCATCTACCATTCTGGAGTGAGCGATCTAGCCGGCATGACCTGACGGATGAGACTAGCAGTCGCACCCATCGCTTGACTCTCAGTATCCCCTCTTAGTCACCATGGTCTGTGGCCATGATGTGGCAGTGTGTCAAAACCTTGTACCCCTGGTGAACCCCAAAATAGCTAGTAAATAGATGTTCATCCCACTAAAAATGTTTGGTATTGACCCATACCCATGTCGTGAATCAATGACATTCAGCTTGAATGGTGCGCATGCCAATGTGCATCCGTGTAAACCAAAGAGATCCAAAGAGTGAAGAGAACAAACATCAGGTTGTCCAACCAGTCCAACCAGTAAGTTGGCATCTGCCGCCATGGGCGTACAAGCAAACTCAAACATGCCAATTAGATGATCAGATCAGCCGTAAAAAAATATGGTTATGACACAGCAGCTCCCTTGCAAGGGCGTTACCCAAGCGTACACTTAGTAAAGCAATAGTAAACCATCTTTAGTATGTTTATGGTATATTTATGGGTGGTATAAACATGTATAAACATGTATAAACATGTATAAACCATCAATTTATATGGGTGGTTTATGAACTAACATGACTCCAGTTGCCAGTTGGGCCATCAGCGTGATGGGCCAATGATCGGCGCCGCGTGCCTGGCATTTCGCTTTCGTTCTCCTGTCCCGCTCCCAAGCAACACTTTGAGCCCGGGAGCCTTGGACACGGACAGGATCACCGAAACAGGACTGGATCCATATGGAAACAGTTAAAATCGACAAACAGATCTTCAACAGACCCACCGGGGATCCTCAAATGATCTTGTGGGAAAACCGGGGTTTTAACATGTGCACCCCTAACAGAGGACAACCGAACAAAACACAAGCAACACAATGCAACACAGACACAATATGATCGTAATTGATCATAATTGATTCAAGTTCTGACATGTTTGATCATAATTGATTCAAGTTCTGACGTCTTGTAATGACACCACTCCGGCCACTGTCTAAACCTCTGACAGCCCTTGCTCTTGGTCTGCGACAAACCCTGCGAGTTTCCCATGTTCCACGTAGCCCACTGGGTCGCCTCATCAGGAGGCAATTGGCTGCAGTGGCGTGAAAATGTTCGCGGGTGAAACCAACACTCACCGCCTTGTGTTTCTTCAAAAAGTCTTGAATGCGAGAGATATCAGGACATTGGTCTGAAACTAGCTGTTTCAGACTAATGGTAATTAATGCGATGATATATGCGTTTGGGAATCGAAGGTCGTGCTGCGTGCTGCTGTGATGTTGTGGATAAAGAAGGCAGTGAAACCCTGAGGGCACGTGAAATAAAGTCTTATCAAAAAATATCATGAAGAAATAAATCACACTAATTATGTAGCATCAGCATTTAGCTTATCATGCTTATCAATATTTTAGCATGCCTTCCCCCAAACCCGTCACCCCAAAAACACACAGGCCCTCTCAATGCGGACTTCGAATCCAGCGACCTTCTGCCGTTGCACTTTTGCAGGCCGGCGCTACATCCGCGGAGGCAGAACGTGAGATTCAGAAATGATCACCAGCACACCACACGTCCATTGTCTGGCTATGGCTCTTTGGTTTTTGGCTTCGTACCCCCTTAAAAATAACCCCTGTGGAACCTCAGTGCCTATCAACTTGTATTCGCAGTTTATTCCCCTTCGGATGTCAGGGATGGTAAACAAGAGGTACGCATAGATATGCTACAATACGATCACACTTCTTGGAATATAATATATGTCGTAATATGTCATGCTATGTCTGTTGTTTGCTGTTTGACCGTTTAAAACTGTACCTATCATCGAATCTGGCTATGGTCGGAGCCGGGGGGTGACACACTTCAGCTCTCAGCCAGTACACTGCAGCAAACAAACCTCCCAAGCACTGTGATGAGGCTGAGGGCCATTCCTCATCTTTTTTAAAGGCAAATCAGGCAAATCACTGAAAAACTGAGAACAACCAGTCTACAAATTTCATCCAATGCGCTATGCAACACGGCATCCCTTTCCATTTTCACTGCTGCTTAAAATCAGCTCTATGTACATAGCCACATCGCTTTGCACCTCAAAAATGGATGGGGCAGAGCAGAGCAAACGGACAGTCACCCATCAAGGTCCCGGAAAATTGTTGCTAGTGATGCCGGCAAACACTCTAAGGATCGTGGATTGATATTATCATAATTTGGAAGCCACCCAAATAAGTGTTCAGGAATGTTCAAGACATCTTCAAGAGAAAAGATATCAAATCGGCGTGTATTATATATCAATATATATAATATATGTGTGTTTGTGTGCGTGTTTTATTCTTAATAGTTATTATTTATTTATATAACATATACATATATCAATAAGTAAAGACAATATGTGTATATATATATATGCATATGTGTGTGTGTTAAGTTATCTATTTGTTTATCTATATTTGTAAATACTGTACATATTATATATCAGTTATCATATATGATTATATATTCTATTACAGTATATCTACATATAGGCTAGGCGGTGCAATGTGAGATGGTTTCAAGGCAAAAACAAGAATCGAATGAACCAATGAAGGCATATGAGCGCACCCACATGCATGTACCACAAAGACCAGTGCGTGCAATAAATATAATATATCATATCAACAGAAAACAACTCTTGAATACCCTCATAGATAAACACAAGGAACACATAAATGAACAAAAACAAGTAACATCTAAGTAAACTTAAATGAATGTACTGCACATGCATATAAAAATGTAAAAATGTAAAACTAAACAATGTACTACATAGATACAAGCACAACTATACGCATGCGACGTGAATGCGTTTCCCTGTTATTCTTCACATGGCAGTCTGTAGGCCGAAGATGGAATTATGAAACGCCTGTTGGGTTGCTATAAGCACAGCAGCTAAAGACAAATCCCAGTAGTTACTTGTCTTTGAAGACAATTGCTATGGGACTAGCAGAAAAAGATAGAAAAATACTATAAGAACCCTGTAGCTTGAAACTTCACGCTTGAGCCACATGAACACCTATCCTAATGCTTTCAAGACCTTCAAGCTACAAGAAACCCCACTTCATCACACAGCGATGGCACCTTGCTCACTCAACAAACAGCAACAAACATGGACAAACAGTTGGTGTTGCCATCCAATGCCTCCTTTGCATCACGCACGATCAGGAATGGATAGGAACAGGGGTAGATGGGGTAGATGGGGTAGATTGTTAATTATGGCCACGATGCATACCAAACTCCACCCTGGTGCCTGTAGCTCACGAGGTTCCACGCATATCAGGCCTAGGCCAAGCACTGAGCGGCTAGATGGCTGGAAACACCAACAATTGACAAGACACTTCGCTGAGGAAAACCAACAGGCGAACCCTTGGGTATACCAAATGGGTTCCTGGCCATAAACAAAACCGGGAAGTGGCATGGGCTTGACACGGCTGGCTGTGGATTGTCTGTTTTGTCGGTGAAAAGACTGGCTTGCATCGATGACAGCATTTATGGACATTGATGAATTTAGGTGGGAGGTGGGTTAAATGATGTTAAATTAAATGCGTTCATTGTAGATCCCACCAAAAAAAGACATCCAATGCCGGGCGTGTTCTTCGCCTTTTCGAAAGGACAAGTGACTTTTGGAGCACCACGGCCCAGCAGCAAATAGCCTCAGCATGGCTCTCTGGTGGGCCATCCAGCCTGTGCTTCAAGCAATTGCTGAGCCTCACACAAAGTAGCCGTCACCTCGTGGAAAAACGGGCAGCAACATCCCGCCCAAATCCCACCAATAGCACTCTGGTCATCTGTGGTCATCACCAAGCACCTCACCATTAATTCACCCACCCCAACAAGCCACTGGATCTCCCAATCTCTCCTTATCCAAGCCCTGAAACCATCCAAGCCTCCTAGTAGCTGGTGAAAGGTCTGGCCTTGGCGGTCTGAGGTCAGGGGAAAGCCGAAAACAGACCTGGAAGGATTCCAAAACAAGGCGAGACCAAGCAAAGAAACAGAAAACTAAAACGGACCTGGAAGGATTCAAACCTTCAAAGATTTGTACTCAAAGTCTGCGATGATTTTAAAGACAACGCCACACCCATAGGGCAACAGGTCCTCGCATATATTGTATTATACTTCTTCCTCTTGTCACAGGTGCATGTGTGTGCCCAGCACAAGCGCTTGGGATTTATTCCCATTGCATCTATAGATGGGATTCTAACTCAAACTATAAGTGGGAAGTCCCTTCTTGCAGTGAGAATTCCTGGGTTTGCTTTGGACATTCGTTGGCATTAGTGAAGTTCAATCAAGCCAATCCATGCAGAAGATTGCCGTGCCTCTAATGGCGTCGTATCTTCACTGTACTGACTCGTGAGCTCTGAACACTGTAAGTCTTGTGAGTCCTGCCCAATGTGCAAATCCCTTCCTCAAGGTCCGAAACGGCAATGGTTGCAAATGTATGATGATCTATTTATTGGTTCGTCTGTGCCAAGGTTCAATCATGACACATTTCTTGGACAGGATAGCTTTATCAGTCGTTCATCTTTTTGATCCTTGCACTTCAGGAAACACTGGTGAGATCGGGTGTTTGGTGTCTGGGGCATTTTTCAAACTATGGCCAAAAGATATATATATATAATTATATATATATATATACACTTACAACACAGCATTTATGCCCCTGACTGACTGACAGGGTGCTTTCACTGGTTTGGCAAGGGATGTGACTTGCAGCGTGAGTTTTGAATCTGGGAACCCCTGCGGCTCCACCAAGCAAAGGCTCGTCCAGCCTGGGATCAATGAACTTGACCAAGACCCAGACTGAAACAAACCAGGAGCTGGTGTGAGTCTCAAACCCATGAAATCAAACCAGGTGATCTTCAGCATCTTCAGTACTTACTCTGAGGATGTGACCTTATTACTTTTTATCCCAAGAGGTCAACAAAAACATCCTGTCTACGTTCCTAGACTGCCCTTGTAACCCACCTGAATCGTATGGGACAATGCAAGCTCGCGGTCCTCTGGCTTCAGAGATGCTGCGGTAACGTCATCTTGATTATTCCCATGACATGCCACTGACGAGTTGGAAATTACAAAGCTGTTAACTAAGATAACCTTTGCAGCCCAAGACTTCAAGATACCATAAGAATCATAAGATACCCAAGATCTCTCATTGCACATCTACCATCCCATAGCATCCCATAGCACATTTTGTGCCGTCCCCACTGCCGTCCCCAGTGTCCTTCGTGTGCAACGCTAGGGTGGCGTCTGGTCCTGGAGGCCTCCAGGCACTGCTTGCTGTGTAGCTGGGGTTACAGCTAAAGTTTTCTATTGAAATCGGAATCCCAAAGATAGAAGGCAAGATAAGGCAAGCGTCTTTGGAACCCATCACTCCAAGGGACAATTTTCTATCCTACAATGTTGTTGCGTGATTGCATGTTATGTATATTATGTTACATTCATATCCAACAAAGAAAAATATGAATCTCAGTGAGCCTCATGCATCTGGACAATGCAGAACGAAGGTAATTTCTACCTGCAACATATCCAACCCCCAGGCACACCATCTGCCAGGCTCCTTCCATCAACTGGAACGAAGAAGCGGAAGGATACCTTCGGGTTGCGGTTGACGGGATAAGCTGATAGAGGGGAAACAAGACATATAGTTCAGTACTTGAAACATCTTGAAACCAGAATCCATAGATGTAGCTGTAGCGGCTAGTAGCGAAGTTTCACACAAATGTCTTGCCCATGACCAGTGTATTAAGTGCCACCCTCCCGGCACCCAGCACCTCGCGACGGTTGTCAGGCAACAAGCCGCCATTGTCCACCTGCGGCGCCCAAGGCCATCAAGGCCACTGTCACCGGGCTGGTTCTGTGGCAGATCCCTACCTCCATGGAGCTTCCAGGTCGCAGCAGCCGCAACTCTGTTAAAACCTGAAGGGATGAAACTGAGCATCAAGCCTCAGGGCCATAAACACAACAAACTCCTACCGGGTCCTACCGCATCATGTCTTTGAAATGAAGAAAAACTGTGAAGGACCGCAATTCGAGAATTACCTTAGGAACCCCAATCAGTTTCGAGCAGTTTTGGGCACCTGCAGTTCCATCAGACGAAAGCATCTCAAGACCTCCGCAGCCAAAGCGCTGCAGAGCGCCCAAATGGTGCCTGGAGCAGAAGCTGGAGATGGCTGGAGGCCATAACCAAAATAGATAGTGACAATACCCTCTGGTAATTTGTTACATAGCTACTGAAAATGGCCATTTATAGTGGATTTTCCCATTGAAAATGGTGATTTTCCATAGCTATGTTAGTTTACCAGAGGGTAGTGATATTGTAGTGTTCAGAGTTCCTAAGTCTCTAGGATGGAGGGGTTTCAAAATATATTTTTTTATGATTTATTTATGATTTGAATACGATTTCCATTTATGATTTTTTTATGGGTTCAAATTGTGGTTATGATTTTTTTATGGTTTGGATATGATTTTTTAATGATTTTTTATGGTTTTTTTAGTCCTCAGAATCTGGTTTTCAGCTAAAAACTCGAGAAGTTTTCGATTTTTTTATGATTTTGCTAGAGTTTCCTTTTCCCCAAAGCCTTTTCAGCAGAAAATTTGATTTTGGAAGCAAAATCGTAAAAAAATCGTAAAAAAATCGTAAATGCATCCAAGGTCCCCAGAATCTGGTTTTCAGCTAAAAACTCGAGAAATTTTCGATTTTTTTATGATTTTGCTAGAGTTTCTCTAGGAAAATCGTAAAAAAATCGTAAAAAAATCGTAAATGCATCCAAGGTCCCCAGAATCTGGTTTTCAGCTAAAAACTCGAGAAATTTTCTTTTTTTTATGATTTTGCTAGAGTTTCCTTTTCCAAAGCCTTTTCAGGAGAAAATTCGATTTTGGAAGCAAAATCGTAAAAAAATCGTAAAAAAATCGTAAATGCATCCAAGGTCCCCAGAATCTTGTTTTCAGCTAAAAACTCGAGAAATTTTCGATTTTTTTGTGATTTTGCTAGAGTTTCTCTGTAAAAATCAAATTTTCTGGTGGAAAAGACTTCAGGGAAGAGGAAATTCTACGAAAATCGTAAAATAATCGTAAAAAAATCGAAAATTTCTCGAGTTTTTAGCTGAAAACTAGATTCTGGGGACCTTGGAAGCATTTACGATTTTTTTACGATTTTTTTACGATTTTTTTACGATTTTCCTAGAGAAACTCTAGCAAAATCATAAAAAAATCGAAAATTTCTCGAGTTTTTAGCTGAAAACCAGATTCTGGGGACCTTGGATGCATTTACGATTTTTTTACGATTTTTTTACGCTTTTGCTTCCAAAATCAAATTTTCTGCTGAAAAGGCTTTGGGGAAAAGGAAACTCTAGCAAAATCATAAAAAAACGAAAATTTCTCGAGTTTTTAGCTGAAAACCAGATTCTGAGGACTAAAAAACCATTAAAAAAATCATAAAACAATCATATCCAAAACCATAAAAAAATCATATCCAAACCATAAAAAAATCATAAAAAAATCATATCCAAAACCATAAAAAAATCATATCCAAACCATTAAAAAAACATAACCACAATTTGAACCCATAAAAAAATCATAAATGGAAATCGTATTCAAATCATAAATAAATCATAAAAAAAATTATTTGCCAAAAATGGCATCCTAAAGGATTTAAGAAGTCTGAATTGTAGTGATATCAAACTTGAATGATGACTCTGACGACTGTAGCTTATTTCAACAAGTGCAACATGAGAAGTACCTACAGTACCCCAATGAGAAAGGGCTGTCCTGCACTAAATGCTGTAAAAGAAACCCAGGCTAGCTAGTGTTACACACGCCAAGCAATATCGTTGCTATTACATCCATATATATATATTTATTTATTTATTTTATATATATATATATATATATCTGTGTGTGTGTGCGTGTGTATAACCCATATAACTTCCGAAGTCACTCCTGGTTATGGTGCTCAAATGGTTGTGCCCTTGTGCCCCACATCCGTGTGGCCCATCAAATGCTTCCAAGTTGCCCAAAGGCTGATCCTCCTTGTCACAGCCTGTCACGACCACCTCGGAGCCTGGAGATGCCATGGGGGGATCATTGGGATCAACATGGATCACGGCATATCACGGCAAATAACCAGAAAGTCAAGCTTGGACAAGCTTGGACCAGGCATCCCCACGCTCCCCTAATTTGGCCTCGGAAGATGAGCTTTGAGGAAACTGGTCGCATCTGGTCGCCCATGAGAGGCTCAAAATATTCAGCTGATCAGTTGGAGGTACCTTAATCATTTCTCATCAAAACAGGCATTAGCTGGCTGTCATGGATGATCCCTTAAACACATCTGAATCCAAACACTGCATTGCTACTATGAGACTACAAGTTTTGACCCATACCTGGTGGAAATTGGCTGTGAGTGGCCGCATGGCCAACCCACTCTCAGGCTCTTGGAGGTGACGCAAGTGAGGCCATTTAAGCGCTCAAGCCAGCAAGGTTCTGGCAAGGAAAAAAAAACACCTCCGGCAAATTTCTGTGGCAAACACCTCGCCCCGTAAAAGATGGGGCGGCCCACGATCTGAAGTTGAGTGACAACAAAAAAAAACAATGTGTCAGCAGTGTGCATCAAGGTGAAGATCAGCTAATGTCAATGTTGAGCCCGGGGGTTCCAGCTAGTCCTTTGGATGAGGGCCGCAAAGCTAGGATGATGCCTGAATAGGTCTGAGAAAATACAACCTTGGCATCATCCTTTTTATCTCTATCTTGTTGAACAGCGATGTTGTAGACGTTCATAATCACCAAACCAATACTCTGGGTGCAGCCTGGCTCTATACCCTCAGATACAGCGTCCGAGGGTTCCCGTCTAAAATAGTTCACGAACCACCCAGGAGAAGAAAACTGGTTTATCAGCATATGTCAGCATTACGAATCTTCAAATTGGTTGGTAGATTTCATCAGGCGAAAAAACGTATGACGTTGCTTTGCAGCAAGGTCACCACCTCTGGTGTTTGTGTCAAAGCCAGGAAAAGGCCGAGCAGAATCAGCACTGCCCCCCAGTTCAGATTTTCCAGGTCACCCTGGGGGAAGGGTTTCAGGCTCTTTCGAAGCAGCAGGGCCACCTGGCTCGGCCATGACTGAAATATCGATGGGTCACCGGGACCTCTCACCATCTTGTGATGAATATGATATGAATATGATATGAATATGATATGAATATGATATGAATATGATATGAATATGATATGAATATGATATGAATATGATATGAATATGATATGAATATGATATGAATATGATATGAATATGATATGAATATGATATGCATATGATATGCATATGAATATGATATGAATATGATATGAATATGATATGAATATGATATGAATATATATATATATATGAATATGATATGAATATGATATGAATATGATATGAATATGATATGAATATGATATGCATATGATATGCATATGATATGAATATGATATGAATATGATATGAATATGATATGAATATGATATGAATATGATATGAATATGATATTATGAATATGATATGAATATGATATGAATATGATATGAATATATATATATATATATGAATATGATATGAATATGATATGAATATGATATGAATATGATATGAATATGATATGAATATGATATGAATATGATATGAATATGATATGAATATGATATGAATATGATATGAATATGATATGAATATGATATGAATATGATATGAATATGATATGAATATGATATGAATATATATATATATGAATATGATATGAATATATATATATGAATATGATATGAATATGATATGAATATGATATGAATATGATATGAATATGATATGAATATGATATGAATATGATATGAATATGATACAAATATGATATGCATATGAATCATATGATATGAATATGACATTCCTTGACGGCCAACTATGTTGGAATTCACCAAGATATCCGGGGTGTGGTTCACTCTCAAATGGGGTGTGTCCATCTTCCACAATCTTTCTGGACGAAGTTTAGACGGGAGAATTTCTGGCATTGTCCTCCATACCAGAGTGATCCATACTGGGAGTCCATAAATGATCAGTGGGTAGATTCCTGTTTTTAGCCCTATAGACTATTAATCTGTATGGGAATTCCTATCAATCAATTGATCCCTATTGATGGATTGATGACCATCCCCCCAATAAATGAAGAGCAAGCCATGCTCGCTGAAGCCAAGACTCCGTTTTCCGTTCAGCCACACGTCGTCCACCCTCGCTCTTGTCCAGGAAAAACGTGGCCTTCGAGCGGCAGATGAGTCCCGCTGTTGGAGAATCTCACCAATCATTTCAATAGGGTTGCAGCAAACCCAAAAGTATAGAAATGCGACTTACCACTATGTTAGTGCAATAGTTGATTTTTCTATCTTTTCGGTGATTGCTATACATGAAAAAATAAATCACGTTTGCCTTGTCTTGTCACCCCCAAATTCTTCTGAAGACGGCACCTACAATATATTCCAAATATATTTGGAAACGGATGGAACCAGAATAAAACAACTCCAAGCTCAAATAGCATGTAATGATAGAACACTATGATACTATGATATCAAAATATGGGTATGAGTCAAAACCTTGGTACCCTAGTGAACCCCAAATAACTGGTAAATGGATGTTCATCCCCCCAAATATAGCAAGATTGGTTTTGATACATCCCCATATATTAAAATGGGCTTCCAAGCCATCCCACTTTGTGCCCCGCCTCAGCCAGACGCAAGCCTGCGAGGCGATAGTTCAAGCGTTCGTAGACGCCTCTCGCCTGGAAGTTGGTCGCCTCCACCAGCAAGACCAACTCCTGAGATCCGGCCATGGCCATGTGGGTAGGGTAACAACAAAAGAAAGTAGAGTCACCCCTGAAATGTGCTGAAATCATGGCATATAATGGCATATATATATAATGTATAATATATATATATGTGATTATTTAATATATATATATATAATATGTATAATTAATAGAATACAATATGTATAATTAATATAATATATACATATATAAATATATACTGTCACTGCTGCCATCAGCATGTCCCTGTTTCTGATGAGCATCCATGTTCACCGCACCGAATTGCGTGGGTGGCAGATTCACTTCTAGCAGCGACCATGTTGTCTGCATTTCACCGAGACGCATCATAGCCCCAGTCGCGGACCACATCTTCCAGTTTCTCCACCAACTTGCGCCCGACGCCTCTGCCTCTGCACTCCTGAGCAGCCAAAGAAGCACACCAGAATACTGGACAACGGTCCACCAAGCACATAAATTAAACACTCCAACATACTTTGATGTCGAAACGCAGGCATGGCATGCCTAAGTACCTTGAGGTCTAATCTGTCTCGCCTCGACTCTTTGCCTCCACTTTCCACCGTTTTTAACATACAGTCAGGTGGGTGATATCATCATTTACTGAGGGTTCAAGATCACCTTCCGACCACGGGCGCCGCTGAAAAGTTGTTCACCAAGATACTGAGGAAACTGCCAAATCAGCCATCACCGGCCGAAGGACAGTCCTTGGGGCGACAAGAGGCTCAAGACTCAAGATGTCTCCCCATGTCTCCCCATGTCTCCCTTTTCTGCAAGGTGTCATGATTCCAATTCCAATGTATTCCACTAATTTCACTGCTGGGCAGTCAGTACAATGCATCGGGATGTTCGCACCTGGAAGGGACTGACACCGGAACTGTCCACTGGGACCTCATCACAATGGCCTTTTGCGCTCTGTTTGTTTCACACTGCTTGATCGTTTTCCATCATGTTCATTCATTTTTCATAATTTCCATCATTTTCAATCATTTTCCTAGGTTACCTGGCGGGGTCTAAAAACCGAATGCTCGGCTTTTTCTATGCCGAGCTTCTGCTTGCCCCCATCATATTGCGTGACCGGTAGCATTTCGTTGGTGAGGCGATTGAAGCATTTCACTTCACAGCCAACGCAACCCACCACTTTGGAAGAAGAGCCTGGCACTGCCATAGTTGCCATATGTTGCCATAATATGGATGGACTCTTCAATTGCGTTGGAACTTGCTGATACCTGGTGATTCATGGGCCATATGAATCCTGGAGCCACAGGCCTGAGCCAAAGTCGAACCAAGAGCTCTCTTTCTTCTCTTCTTTCCTGACATCGCCACTCGGGTAGGGTTGAAACATGTTGGAAAGGCCGTGCCGTTAATGGCTTCGGCATGAGGCCGCATGACATACCATGACGTACCAATGGACCATTGTTGCTGTCTTGACACTGGGACGTATGGCTGTTTACAACCTGTCGCAAGGCTGCACCACATGTCTCAAGGGTAAACATCGACATTATACAAATGCGTAGGTAAACTTCGACATGAATGAAATGCGTAGGTACTCGTAGGTAAACATCAACATTGGACTTCCAGGGTATATATTATATAATTATATATATATATAACTATATCTATACATATACACATATTATCTCATACATTTTGTGGCGGGGTCGCTCGCTTGATGCACCCATGTGAGCCGCAATTGTGGCGTCTCAGAAAGCGGCATGAAGGAGGAGCTGAACACCTTGATATCTTAATTAGGGCCCTCAAGAGCAGCTTGTCACTGTTAGTTAAGTTGGTCAGATCTTGGACATCTCCAGCCCATGTACCCTTCTTCTGATGCCATTCCAAGATTCTCTTGCAGCCTTGCAACCAGCAAAGTGCTGGGATAGCCATTGTCCTCAACAACCCGGTGACGGAATTTGGAGTTGCTCACCTCGCCGCCTTGCCCCCGAAAAATATTGAGGTACAGTAGGCTGAACTCATGCGACACGTGGAATTGCCTCAGCCCTTCCAACATCTTCCAACAGGTCAAAGATCAAGATGGATCAAGGTAGGAGTCCTTGCTGGTAAAGTCTCATTCTGCCACTCCAAAAGGGTCCAAATGCCATGAATTCTTGTGCCCAAGTCACTGCCAGGTACAATGACTGGTAGGTAGGAGCTTCCCGGCCAGACAGCAGTGCATAGTCTTCATCCGAGAAGTTAGGTGTGTCAAGCCATCCTGGATCTGCTTTCTGAGATTCAGTGGAGGTGGTTAAGTTGCTGTGTATCATGTGTATCTACATATATATATATATATATTTATTTATTTATTTATATATTTATATTTATTTATTTATTTATTTATTTAATATATTTATTTATTTATTTATTTATATATTTATTTATGTATTTATTTTTTTATATATTTATATTTATGTATTTATTTATATTTATTTGTTTATCTATTTATTTTTTCTATTGATTTATTGATTTATTTTTATTTATTTATTTATATATTTATATTTATTTATTTATTTATTTATTTACATATACATATACATATACATATACATATACATATACACCGTCCAGTCAGTATCTGCCATCCCGCACTTCACCTCAATTGCCTCTCTCAAAGATGCACTTTGGATGTTTCAGTTCTGCGAAGCCAGCGGATTTTCATATTTGGGGCCTAAGTCCATTCTCGGCGCAGCTTCTTGTGGCACGTTAACTAGTTTATTTTTCTTAGCTGCCGCTTGTTCTAATTCACATGTCTATGCATATATGTGCATGATTACATGGACATGGATATAAATCTGCATATGCATATGCATAATATGCATATGTATGCCATGGTGTTCATCATCATATGCGCGTGCCTGCGTATATTCTATATATATATATAAATATATACAATAATAAAATAATCTTTTCTGACCATATATGCATGTATATGAATATATATATATATACATATATAGAGAGAGAGAGAGGTATATATAGATATATGTATATATATATTAGATATGAGATACTAGGTATTAGATATTAGATATCAGATAACCATATATGATATAGATATAGATGTTAGATATTTGATATTAGATATATATTTGACATTAGATATTATTGTAAATTATTACAGTAGATTTGAGATGTTGATATAGATGTTGATATAGATGTTGATATAGATGTTGATATAGATATATAGATACGATATACAATTATATAGGTATATATTGAGGTGAGCGTATGGTGACTTCGGCCTTCCGTCCAGCGCAGTGCCCGCACCGCCACGTCCGCGGCAGGGAGCAGGTCTCCGGATGTGGCTTCGTCGATCCTGTTCGGTGGCCCACATACAGTATCCACATATCTCCAAATAATTAGGGTATAGCAACCCCCGAATATATGTATGTATATATATATGCACATAAAAATAGAAATGTAATATATCTATTCTAACCGACTGCATTATGGAGAAAGAGCGTCGCCTGTCTCCGTTTCGTTCCATAATTAGGTTTTCCTCGTAAGGGTTCAAAATTTCCCGGATGTGATCTGAACCCGATTTTTTCCATAATTTTTTGCAGGGCCCAGGATTTTCCAAAATGGATTTTTCCATGTAAAGAAATTAAAAAGGTCAAACAACTGATGAAAGTCAATGCCAAAAATATTGAAATAGAGTTGAAATCGGATGAAAACCAGTGGAAAATAAAGGCTTACATATTAAATACGTTGGGCAATTGCTTGAAACAAATGGCAAAAGGATGAAATAGGTTGGAAAATTGTTTAAAACGAATGGCAAAATTTAAAGGCTGAAATAGGTTGAAAACGTGCTTAAAAACCAATGGTAAAAGAATGAAACATATTTTAGGATACCTGATCAGCAAATGTGTGCACTTTTCTTTACAGATTGGGATTGG